TCCTTCTTTCCTCCTCTCTCTCTTCCTCTCTGTACTTTTTTCCTTCTCTCTTTCTTTTTTCCCTCCTTCTTTCCCTCCTTCTCTCTTTCTTTCTTTCCTTCCTTCCTTCCTTCCCTCCTTCTTTCCCTTTCCTTCTTTCTTTCCCTCTTTTCCTCCTTTTTTCCTTCTCTTTTTCCCTCGTTCATTCGTTCCTTCCTGCCTGCCTGCCTGCACAGATCTGTGCGTCCTCCCCTCCCATAGCTAGCAATCCAAAACAGTCCAGTGGCACCTTTAAGACCAAGTTTTGTTCAGGCACAAGCTCTCCCTCCTCTGTGAGGACAGATCTGCAAATTTCCCTCCCCCCCAGTAGCTAGCAATCCAAAACAGTCCAGTGGCACCTTTAAGACCAAGTTTTGTTCAGGCACAAGCTCTCCCTCCTCTGTGAGGACAGATCTGCAAATTTCCCTCCCCCCCAGTAGCTAGCAATCCAAAACAGTCCAGTGGAGCCTGAGCGGTGGGTGTTGCCTTCTGACACACTTCCGGTGATGTCAGGGTGTGTGGCATATGCAAATAAGTTATCCTAATGAGTTGTGCTAATGAGCTCCTGCACCTCTTTTCCTACGAAATGACCCTTGTGGGGCGCCATGTTGGGGAACCCCTGCTCAAACCACCACACCATGATCAAATCACCAGAATCAACAGACAGATCCTCCGTCGGTCTGGCTTTAGGCGGCACCCGGCCAGTGCTGTGCCCCTGTGAACGTGCCCTTGGGAGCTCCTTCGCTTCCCCTTCTGCGGGCTTCCCCACCTCTTCCCCCCACCCCCCCACACACACAAGCACACAACCCCTCTTCACTCACCTGGTCATCCGGATGCGGGGGCAACAGGGGCAGCAGCAGCAGCACGGCCCCGTGCTGATCACCACGGGGGTATCCTTCAGGGCCTTGAGCACGGCCTCCATCCCCCCAAAGCCCTCCACCATGACCAGCATCAGCAGGTAGAAGCAGGCCGCAAAGTACCTGGAAGGAAACCCGGAAAAGTGAGCTGCAGAGAAGGGGGCTGTTCTGACACTGGGAGGGGGGGGCATGGGGCTTCCCCAGGGCAGAGCCCCCGGGACTCACGCGTCTGGTGTCGTGGTTGGGACCGCGGACTCTAATCTGGGAGAATCGGGGTTTGATTCCCCACTCCTCCACTTGCACCTGGCTGGATGACCTTGGGCAAGTCCTAGTTCTGATAAGAGCTGTTCTTGAAAAAGAGCCGTTTCTGTTAAGAGCTCTCCCAGCCCCACCTACCTCTCAGGGTGCCTGTTGTGGGGAGGGGAAGGGAAAGGAGTTTGTCAGCCGCTCTGAGACTCCTTTGGGTAGTGAAGGACGGGGTACAATCCAATCTCTTCTTCTTCTAATCTGGGAGAACCGGGTTCGATTCCCCACTCCTCCACATGCAGCTGCCGGTATGACCTTGGGCAAGCCATCGTTCTCTCAGAGCTGTTCTCTCAAGGGCAGTTTCTGTCAGACCTCTCTCAGCCCCACCTCCCTCCCAGGGTGTCTGTTGTGGGGAGGGGAAGGGTGGAGTTCAAAAGCCGCTCTGAGACACCTTCGGGTAGTGAAGGGCGGGGTATAAAGCCAATCTCTTCTTCTTCATCATCTCCTTTCCCTGCACCAAACGGCAGGGCCTAGACCCTCGAGTTGCTCATAGGGATGCCAGCTTCCAGGTGGGGCCTGGAGACCAATGCTCCCTCTAAGCTGTGGAGTCTTGTGAGCAAAAATTCTACTTTGTGAGCTGCTGGCATTAAAGTTGTGAACGAGCGATTGGGCTGCTGCATAAATTAGTTTGCTCTGGAGCCGTCCTTCCTGAGCTAAGACAAAAATGTGGGAGCCGAGGCTAAAAAACTATGAGCCAGCTCACACTAACTCAGCTTAGAGGGAACACTGTGAGCCTGGAGCCCTCCTTCCTGAGCTAAGACAAAAATGTGAGAGCCGGAGGCTAAAAAACTGTGAGCTGGCTCACACTAACTCAGCTTAGAGGGAACACTGTGAGTCTGGAGCCATCCTTCCTGACCTAAGACAAAAATGTGTGAGCCGGGGGCTAGAAAACTGAGCTGGCTGGCACTCCCTCAGCTTAGAGGGAACACTGCTCTGGAGCCCTCCTTCCTGAGCTAAGACAAGAATGTGAGAGCCGGAGGCTTAAAAACTGTGAGCCGGCTCACAGTTTTTAAGCCTCCGGCTCTCACATTCTTGTCTTAGCTCAGGAAGGACGACTCCAGAGCAGCGTTCCCTCTAAGCTGAGTTAGTGTGAGCCAGCTCACAGTCTTTTAGCCGCTGGCTCACATATTTCTGTCGTAGCTCAGGAAGGACGACTCCAGAGCAGCGTTCCCTCTAAGCTGAGTTAGTGTGAGCCAGCTCACAGTCTTTTAGCCGCTGGCTCACATATTTCTGTCGTAGCTCAGGAAGGACGACTCCAGAGCAGCGTTCCCTCTAAGCTGAGTTAGTGTGAGCCAGCTCACACTAACTCAGCTTAGAGGGAACGCTGCTCTGGAGTCGTCCTTCCTGAGCTAAGACAAGAATGTGAGAGCCAGAGGCTTAAAAACTGTGAGCCGGCTCACACTAACTCAGCTTAGAGGGAACGCTGCTCTGGAGTCGTCCTTCCTGAGCTACGACAGAAATATGTGAGCCAGCGGCTAAAAGACTGTGAGCTGGCTCACACTAACTCAGCTTAGAGGGAGCACTGGCATACACACATGGTCCACCGAGGTCAGTATTGTCTACTCAGACTGGCAGCAGCTCTCCAAGGTCTCCGGCAGAGGTCTTTCACGTCAGCGACTACCTGATCTTGGACATACCAGGGATTGAACCTGGGACCTTCTGCATGCCAAGCAGAGGCTCTTCCGCCAAGCCACAGCCCCTCCCCAGACTAGAGAGATCAGTTCCCCTGGAGAAAATGGCTGCTCTGGAGGGCGGACTCTATGGCATTGTCCCCCATCGAGGGCTCGGCCTTCTCCAGGCGCCACCCTTCAAACCTCCAGGAATTCCCCAACTGGAGATGGCAACCCTACCTCCACCCCTGCCAGCGGCCAGGGAGAACATGGCGACCCTAGCCCATACCCTTGGGATACTCACGCGCCAATGGCCATCTCCACCACCGTCATGGAGCGTGGCACCCAGATCCCGAAACAGCAGAATATCGACACCATCTGGCAAAGGCGAGGAAGCGGCCCCGGGTGAACGTCAGCAGTACGGAATCCAGAGGCATTCAATTCCCCCCAGGAAAGTGGTGGCGAGAATCACGTCTGGACCTCTAAGGGCCAACAGCTCCCCACCTTTGCAGCAGAGATATTGAAGCCAGGTAACAGACAGACTCCAATCTCAGGCTGCAGGTTGGGATAGAGCCAGTGATGGCGAACCTTTTAGAGACCGAGTAGCCAAACTGCGACCCAAAACACACTTATTTATCGCAAAGCACCAACACGGCAATTTAACCCGAATACTGAGGTTTTACTTTAGAAAAAACAACTCAGACATTAACTTAAGATGATCCAAACAAAGTAAGGAAAGCAATCCCAAATGCTTTCATTTACTTAAAATTATTTGGCAGAGAATTCGACACTTTAATGATGGTCTGGGCCTGGCTGGGGCGATGGCACGCGTGCCCACAGAGAGGGCTCTGAGTGCCGCCTCTGGCCCCCGTGCCATAGGTTCGCCACCACTGGGATAGACCAAGGCTTCTGTGGGCATGACTGCTGGATAACTCGTTGGAAGGACTTTTCTTTGCAACTGCTAAGAACGCTTTACCTATCTGTAATGTATTCAGTCCTGACCGTGTGCAAGGCTAGGTCTCCACGCGGTCATGCTAAGCGCCCCAGCTTGGCTTCCACAGACAATGGGTCAATCGGATCCTAGCCCACACCTGTCTAGGGTTGCCAAATCGGCCCGGGGGGGGGCGGGGAATCCCCCGCTTTGAAGGGCCGATTTCCAACGCAACGGAAATTGGCCCCGGGGGAACCCCCGCCCCCCGAAGCTGTGTCACCAGAGGTGACGCACGACGAAGGCCACGTTGGGGGCATGGCCCAGATTGTTTCCCCCCAACGATCTTGGCCACGCCCCCAACGTGCTATGTTGTGCGTCACTTCCAGTGATTGTCCGGCGGCGCGCGCGTGCGCGCGCATCCCCGGATAGCTCCCGGAGCGACAGGACGCTCCCCCGCTGGTAAGTTATTTCTATTTGGCAACCCTACACTTGTCAGAGGGCTAGGATCACAGGCGAGAGCCTATGGAACTCTCCGCCACTGTAAATAGCCTATACTGGTGCGGGGTGTGTGTGTTTGGGGTGTGGGTTTTGTTGCAAATATAAGCCGGCCTGTGAGCCGGAAACTTTGTCTTGTTCTTTCCTGAAATAAAGAATGAGAGCTGAAATCACTAGTAAGTCTCAGTACTTTTCACTATCGGTCTTCTGCCAGTTGGGCAACTGTTCACGGCATCCGGCCTCTGTCTACATGGTGTTGACCTGACCACCTGCCTAGCTACGGCAGTGTACCCCACATGTTCCCCAGAGAGCCTTGCGCTCAGGATCCCAAAACCGTCTGGCCCTTTCGGGCCCTAAAGATGTCAGGCTGGCGTCAACTAGGTTAGAACACAACACTCAATGCTATTATGCTACTATATCTTCATATAAAGGTAAAGGTAAAGGTTCCCTTGCTCGAAAGCCAGTCAAATCCGACTCTAGGGTTGCGGTGCTCATCTCCGTTTCAAAGCCGAAGAGCCAGCGCTGTCCGAAGACGTTTCCGTGGTCACGTGGCCGGCATGACTAAACACCAAGGCGCACGGAACGCTGTTCCCTTCCCACCGAAGCGGTACCTATTTATCTACTTGCAATTTCGTGCTTTCGAACGGCTAGGTTGGCAGGAGCTGGAACTAGAGACGGGAGCTCACTCCGTCATGCTGCAAACCGGGTCTCGAACTGCTGAACTACCCACCTTCCACAGCCTGCAGTTCAGCGTCTTCACCACTTGAGCCACCGCAGCTCCTTATTGTAACTAGCACCTTATGCTGCTGTTTTAAGATTCGATGCTTTTGTTATATTGTTGTTTTGGGCTATTGCATATATGTAAGCCGCCCTGAGCCTGCCTCGGTGGGGAGGGTGGGGTATAAATTGAATAAAACAAACAAATAAATAAAAAAAATACCCCATTCCTAGAGTTCCTGGAGATCCCCCGCGATTACGATTGTTCTCCAGATGACCAAGATCAGTTCCCTTGGACAAAATGGCTGCTTTGGAGGGTGGACCCTACGGCGTTCTATCTTGCTGAGGTCCCTCCCCTCCCTAAGCCCTGCCCTCTCCAGGCTCCACCCCTAAACTCTGCAGGTCTTTCCCAGCCCGGAGCTGGGGACCCTCCTCATTCTGCTCCCACAGAACCCCCCCAAGGCACTGACGCTTACCGTGGGAGCTGAGCTACTCCAGATGAGCGTTTTCATCTTGACGGGGCAGCGGACCTTCTCAGAGAGGTACAAGGCTTCTTCGATGAAGATGAGGATGGACAACAGGGTGAGGAAGGTCATCGTGCCAGTGATGCCGTAGTCAGCGATGCTCTGCTCTGCAAGGAAAGGTGAGCACCGTCGCTGGGGAAAGTTTAAGTCATCTGCAGCAGAATTCTGGATTCAGGGAGACTTGGCCATTTATGTCTAAGGTATATTGAATAGATCAGGGGTGGCCAAACTGCGGTTCAGGAACAACATGTGGCTCTTTCACACATATTGTGCAGCTCCCGGCAGGGCAGCTGGGGAAGCGAAGGGGAGGCACACTTTTTCTCCCTCTCTCCCTCCCTCCCTCCCGTCTATTTGCTTTCTTTGTTTCTCTCTCTCTCTCTTTTTCCACCTCTTTCATTCTTTCTTTCCACCTCTCTCTTTTTCTCTGTCTCTTAAACAAATAAATATCATCATCAATATCTATTTTCACCCCTTTTGTTTTTTTTTTGGCAGTCTCATTTGGCTTTCTTTGTTTCTCTCTCTCTCTCTTTCTTTCCACCTCTTTCCTTCTTTCTTTCCACCTCTCTCTCTCTCTCTCTCTTAAACAAATAAATATAATTCGCAAACAAATAAATATCATCATCAATATCTGTTTTCACCCCTTTTCTTTTTAATTTTTGCAGTCTCATTTAATGTTAATTTTAAAAGCAAAATTGCATATTTTTAAATAAAATGTGCGTATAAGATTGGTTCAAGTGTTGCGGCTCTCAGACATCTGACATTTATTCTATGTGGCTCTTACGCTGAGCAAGTTTGGCCGCCCCTGGAACAGATATAGGAAACACAGACTTTGGTTTCTTCCCATGAAGAAGAAGAGATTGGATTTATACCCCGCCCTTCACTTGGAGTCTCAGAGCGGCTGACAAACTCCTTTCCCCTTCCCATCCCCACAACAGACACCCTGTGAAGTGGGTGGGGCTGAGAGAGCTCTGACAGAAACGGCTCTTTTTCAAGGACAGCTCTTATCAGAACTTGTGACTCGCCCAAGGTCATCCAGCCAGGTGCAAGTGGAGGAGTGGGGAATCAAACCCGGTTCTCCCAGATTAGAGTCCGCCCACTTAACCACTACACCAAACTGGCACTGCAGTATGTCCAGTGCCTTCTTCCTCGTTCCAAAGAGGTGCTGTGCTGTGAACAAACTGTTTCCCACACATACTTCACCTTCCTTGAGCCAAAATGCACTAAGCCCCAAGGCTGAATCTCTAGAGATTTTTGTCTGTACCCCACCGACTTTGGGCTAACTGATAGCCCTTTGGGAGGAAACGTTTATGGTTTTATGGTGCGAAGAAGAAGAAAAGGAGGAGGAGGAGGAGGTGGAGGTGGAGATTGGATTTACACCCCGCCCTTCACTTGGGAGTCTCCTTTCCCATCCATAGAGTTTTCCCTCGGATGACCGTGGCCCTGCCCACAGCGTGCTCAGCGTCATAACGTCACTTCCTGGTGACGCGCACACCGGGGTGGGGTTCCCCCCGGGGCCCGATCCACCAGCGGCGGGGGACGGGCCTCTGGGGCGGGGGTTTTCCCGCCCCCCCCGGGGGGACTTGGCAAGCCTAAGTTACATAGACATTTTTTTAAAAAAATAATTAACTAACTTTCAATTCTTTTAAAATTCTTTGATTTATTCATTTACATTTGATCTCTAGACAGTCAAGACCAGTTCCCCTGGCATAAATGGCGGCTTTGGAGAGCGGAGTCTATGGCATCGTGCCCGGCTGAGGCCCCTCCCCTCTCTAAACCCCGCCCTCCCCAGGCTCCACCTCCCCAAAACCTGCAGATATGTCCCAACACTGAATTTCAGTCTCTGCGTCCCAAACTTACGATGGAGGAGTTGCAGAGCCGCCGGAGGGTTGGAGAAGCAGGCGGCGGGGATGCTGTAATTGTCGATCAGGAGGCGTATTAGCGGAGGGGGGAACCTGGGAACGGAAGAAAGATCCGTCAGAGCACCGACACAGCCAGTCACACACAGTCTCCAGTCACTATCTAAAGATTGGCAACCCTCGCCACATGGCTCCGTTGTAAAGCTCATGTTTTGCATGCAGAAGGTGCCCGGTTCGATCCCTGGCCTCTCCAGAGAAAGGGTTTGGGCGGCAGGGTGGGAGAAGATCTCTCCCTTCCAGACACTCCGCAGGGTTGCCGCTGGTCAGACTTGCCAATGCGGAGGTGAGCTGGATGGCTCGACGGGGCCATTGGGGGAGGGGCTGCGTGGCTCGGTGGGAAAGGCTCTGCTTGGCATGCAGAGAGTCCCAGGTTCAATCCCCAGCATCTCTAGTTAGAAAGGACCAGGCAGGAGGTGTTGTGAAGGACCTCCGCCTGAGACCCTGGAGAGCTGTAAAGAGGGGCTGTGGCTCAGTGGAAGAGCCTTTGCTTGGCATGCAGAAGGTCCCAGGTTCAATCCTTGGCATCTCCAGTTAAAAGGACCAGGCAGTAGGTAATGTGAAAGACCTCAGCCTGAGACCCTGGAGAGCTGTCAAGAGGGGCCGCGGCTCAGTGGAAGAGCCTCTGCCTGGCATGCAGAAGGTCCCAGGTTCAATCCGCGGCATCTCCAGTTGAAAGAACCAGGTCGGAGATGTGAAAGACCTCCGCCTGAGATCGAGGAGAGCTGCTGCCAGACTGAGTAGAGAAACCACTGACCTTGGAATCATAGAGTGGGAAGGGACCTCCAGGGTCATCTAGTCCAACCCCCTGCACAATGCAGGGAATTCACAAATACCTCCCCCCCACATACCCCCGGTGACCCCCACTCCATGCCTTGATAGACCCAAGGGGCTGATTCAGTATAAGCAAGGCCAGGATAAGACTGTAAGAGCCTGTGAGCACTGAAAAGATGATGGCGCGCCCCTCATGTGTAATTCAAAATAAAAACAAGACTAAACTATAAAATATGATTTTAATTTTTTCGAAAGGACACGGAACTGACTTTCAGGTGGGGAGCCATGTTGGTCTGGACCTACGGAACCACGTTTGAGCCCAGTGGCACCTTGAAGACCAACGAAGTTTTATTCTTGGGAAAACCTTTCATGTATCTGCATGTGAGTATCTGAGGAAGTGTGCGTGCACTCAAAAGCTTCTACCAGGAATTGGTCTTCAAGGTGTTACTGGACTCAGACTTTGTTGTATAGAACTTGTCTGCTGAAATTAAAATAGTTTCTTTCTAGTTTTTTTTTAAAAAAAATATCTAATCCTTTCCAAAAAAATTATTTTCATTTTTTTCCTCTCCCCCCTCTTCATAAAATCATAGAGTGGGAAGGGACCTCCAGGGGTCATCTAGTCCAACCCCCTGCACAATGCAGGGAATTCACAAATACCTCCCTGCCCACACACACGCCCCAGTGACTGCTGTTCCATACCCAGAAAAATGACAAAAACCTCCAAGATCTCCAGCCAAACTGGCCTGGAGAAAAACTGTTTCCTGACCCCAAAGTTGCGATCAGCATTTCCCAGTGTAAAAAAGGGCCACAAGCAATGTTCCTTCTAAGCTGTGGAGTCTTGTGAGCAAAAATTCTACTCTGTGAGCTACTGGCATTAAAGTTGTGAGCGAGCGACTTGGCTACTGCATAAATTTAGTCTGCTCTGGAGCCACATCCTTTCCTGAGCTAAGACAAAAGTGTGTGAGCTGGAGGCCAAAAGAACGGTGAGCCAGCTCACACTAACTCAGCTTAGAGGGAACACTGAACACAAGCAGTGTTCCCTCTAAGCTGAGTTAGTGTGAGCCAGCTCACCGTTTTTTTAGCCTCCAGCTCACACGTTTTGGTCCTAAAGCAAGAAGGAGGGCTCCAGAGCGAAACTAATTGATGCAGCAGCCATAAACGCTCGCTCACAACTTTAATGCCAGTCGCTCACAGAGTAGAATTTTTGCTCGCCAGACTCCACAGCTTAGAGGGAGCGTTGGCCACGAGAACTAAGCACTGATGCAGCCCTTCCTGCCCTCCCTTCTCGGGATCTGCCCAAGCTCACGGTGTCCCTGTTTTGCTAGCGCCCTAACCATGCACTTAGTCTGCCTACTGGGTAAACCAGAACTGAGTATATAAGGCACCTTCAAGTGTGTTCACGGTCCCACTCCGCCCAAAGCCAATTCCCATGTTCAAAAGAGGCCCGTGGATTACCTGGGGTCTCTCGCCAGGTCTTCCATGGTTTCTTTCTTCTCGAAAACTTCCACGATGGGGTGGCTCATCCTCGATCACACGAGATGTGGCTCTCTGGCCACGCAGCTCTCTGGCCCCAAGCTGAAGAAGCACAGCGTTCCGGGGTGTTTGCCAAGGCAGGGTCAGAGTCCTGCGGCTGAGCGCGGCAGGGAGTCCAAACGCTTTGAACCCACCCTCCTCCCCCACCCTTTCCCTTGTCTCCGTAGGCCAGCAAGTTCACTGACTGAGAGGTCGTGTCACCTGCGGAGTTCCATGGCCATGCGGACTCAAATGTCCTTGGTTAGGAAGAGGCGCCACCCACCACAGGGCTCAGAGGGGGGTTTCCAGGGTCACACGGTCTGTGTGCCAAGAAAGATCGCAGAACATCATTCCAGAGGCTGTGAGAAATCAAAAGTTGGGACCTGGGGAGAGGAAAGAAGAGGAACACTTTCCCTGTGAGGAAAGGCTGAAGCGCTCGGGGCTCTTTAGCTTGGAGAGACGACAGCTGAGGGGTGACACGATCGAGGTATATAAGATTATGCGTGGGATAGAGCAGGTCGAGAAAGAGGCACTTTTCTCCCTTTCTCACAATAAAAAGAACTCGTGGGCACTCCGTGAAATTGCCTAGCGGTCGGGTTAGAACGGATAAAAGGAACTCACTGCCACAGGAGGGGGCGGCGGCTACAAGCACGGACAGCTTCTAGAGGGAATTGGAGAAACATCTGGAGCAGAGGTCCATCAGTGACTATTAGCCACAAGGGATAGATAGGGACTCTGGGGCAGGTCCCACCTCTGTATTCTTGGTGCTTGGGGGGAGGAACAGTGGGAGGGCTTCTAGTGTCCTGGCCCCACTGCTGGACCTCCTGAGGGCACCTGGTATTTTTGGCCCCTGTGTGACACAGAGTGATGGACTGGATGGGCCATTGGCCTGATCCAACATTGGCTTCTCTTATGTTCTTATAGGAATTCTCAGTCTGGGGCAGGTGATGCTCTGTATTCTTGGTGCTTGGGGGGAGGAACAGTGGGAGGGCTTCTAGTGTCCTGGCCCCACTGCTGGACCTCCTGAGGGCACCTGGTATTTTTGGCCCCTGTGTGACACAGAGTGATGGACTGGATGGGCCATTGGCCTGATCCAACATTGGCTTCTCTTATGTTCTTATAGGAATTCTCAGTCTGGGGCAGGTGATGCTCTGTATTCTTGGTGCTTGGGGGGAGGAACAGTGGGAGGGCTTCTAGTGTCCTGGCCCCACTGCTGGACCTCCTGAGGGCACCTGGTATTTTTGGCCCCTGTGTGACACAGAGTGATGGACTGGATGGGCCATTGGCCTGATCCAACATTGGCTTCTCTTATGTTCTTATAGGAATTCTCAGTCTGGGGCAGGTGATGCTCTGTATTCTTGGTGCTTGGGGGGAGGAACAGTGGGAGGGCTTCTAGTGTCCTGGCCCCACTGGTGGACCTCCGGATGGCACCTGGTATTTTGGGCCACGTGTGACAGACTCTCGGACTGGATGGGCCTTTGGCCTGATCCAACATTGGTGTCTCTTATGTCCTTATGATTTATACCCGTCCCTTCACTCAGAATCTCACAGCCGCTTACAATCTCCTTACCCTTCCTCTCCCCACAACAGACACCCTGTGAGGTAGGCGGGGCTGAGAGAGCTCTGGGAGAACTGTGACTGACCCAAGGTCATCCAGCAGCTGCATGTGGAGGCGTGGGGAATCAAACCCAGTTCTCCAGATCAGAATCCACCGCTCTTAAACACTACACCCAACTGGGTACACCAAACAGAGTTACCACCAACCTCCAAGCGAGACAAATCGGTTCCCCTGAGGGGAAAGGGCTGCTTTGGAGGGGATACGCTATAGCATTATACTCCACTGAGGTCCTGCCCCCTCTCTAAAGACCTCCCTCCTCAGGCTCCACTCCCCAAATCTCCAGGTATTTCCAGCCCCAGAGTTGGCAACCCCAGACAGAGGCCCTCAGTCCCTTTCGCCCAGTCCCTTCGTCTCCAGCAAGCAGGGGTTGATCAGGGTCTCCGGAAGATGTGATCTTCCAACCCTCCTCCATAAGATCCAGTTAGCGGGACAATAAACCACTGAGGTCGCCAACCTCCACGTGGGGCCTGGAGATCTCCCAGCATTACTCCGGCTTTCCAGACTACAAGCACCAGTTCCCTTGGAGAAAATGGCTGCTGCAGAGTGTAGACTTCACGGCATTCTACCCCACTAAGGCCCCCCTTGTCTGAAATCCCACTCAGTCTAATCTCCACCCTTAAATCTCAAGGCATTTTCAAACCCAGAGTTGGCGCCCGTGTGAACCATGGAATCTCATGAATGAATGGACTATTATTTATTAGTGTCACACACCAGAACCTTATGCACCCAACGTTTTCCCCCCACTGGACTATAGATCCTTTCTGGTAATTTCTTTTTCTGAAGCGGTAGAACAAAACAAGAGCCCAATGGGAGACCAACGAAGGTCCACCATCTTGCCCTCTTCTTGGTGCTCCAGAGGAACTGGTTGGCTGCTGAGTGAGACAGGATACTGGACTAGATGGACCACTGGTCCGATCCAACAGGGCTCTTCTGATGTTCTTATGACGGCCTCGGCCTTTGTGTCCTGTTGTTGGTCCTCCAGAGGAACTGGTTGGCTGCTGTGTGAGACAGGATGCTGGACTAGGTGGACCACTGGTCCGATCCAACAGGGCTCTTCTGATGTTCTTCTGAAGGCCTTGGCCTCTGTGTCCTGTTGTTGGTCCTCCAGAGGAACTGGTTGGCTGCTGTGAGAGGCAGGATACTGGACTAGATGGACCCTCACTGGTCTGATGCAGCAGGGCTCTTCTGATGTTCTTATGAAGGCCTTGAACCTCTCTGCCCTATTGCTGGCCCTCCAGAGGAACTGGTTGGCTGCTGTGTGAGACAGGATGCTGGACTAGGTGGACCACTGGCCTGGTCCAACAGGGCTCTTCTGATGTTCTTATGAAGGCCTTGGCCTCTGTGTCCTGTTGTTGATCCTCCAGAGGAACTAGTTGACCACTGTGTGAGGCAGGATGCTGGACTAGATGGACTCCACTGGTCTGATCCAGCAGGGCTCTTCTGATATTCTTATGAAGGCCTCGGCCTCTATGCCCTGTGGCTGGTCGTCCAGAGGAACCGGTTTGCCACTGTATGAGATGTGATGCTGGACTTAGATGGACCACTGCTCTGATCCAGCTAGGGTTGCCAAGTCCCCGCTGTATGTACTCCAGCTTTGTTCCAGGTGCGCCGCATAGAGTTTTCCCTCGGATGACCGCGGCCCCGCCCCCAACACGCCCGACGTGACTGTGTCACTTCCGGGTGACGTGCTGACGCCAGGCACGTCACGTGCTTTGGGGGTGGGGTTCCCCCCAGGCCCCGATCTGCCGGTGGCGGGTAACGGCCTCTCGGGCGGAGGTTTCCCCGCCCCCCCGGGGGGACTTGGCAAGCCTAGATCCAGCAGGGCTCTTCTCTTATGAAGGCCTCGGCCTCTCTGCCCTGTTGTTGGCCCTCCAGGGGAACTGCTTGGCCACTGTCTGAGACAGGAGGCTGGACTAGATGGACCCCCACTGGTCTGATCCAGCAGGGCTCTTTTGATATTCTTGTGAAGGCCTTGGTTTCTGTGCCAAGCTGTTGGCCCTCCAGAGGAACTGGTTGACTGCTGAGTGAGACAGGATGCTGGACTAGATGGACCCCCACTGGTCTTATCCAGCAGGGCTTTTCTGATATTCTTATGAAGGCCTCGGCCTCTATGCCCTGTGGTTGGTCCTCCAGAGGAACTGGTTTGCCATTGTGTGAGATGTGATGCTGGACTTAGATGGACCACTGGTCTGATCCAGCAGGGCTATTCTCTTATGAAGGCCTCGGCCTCTATGCCCTGTGGTTGGTCCTCCAGAGGAACTGGTTGGCCACTGTGTGAGACAGGATGCTGGGTTAGGTGGACCACCAGTCTGATCCAGCAGGGCTCTTTTAATATTCTTGTGAAGGCCTTGGCCTCTATGCGCTGCTGTTGGCTCTCCAGAGGAACTGGTTGGCCACTGTGTGTGGCAGGATGCTGGACTAGATGGACCACTGGTCTGATCCAGCAAGGCTCTTTTGATATTCTTGTGAAGGCCTTGGTCTCTCTGCCCTGTTGTTGGCTCTCCAGAGGAACTGGTTGGCCACTGTGTGAGGCAGGATACTGGGTTAGGTGGACCACCGGTCTGATCCAGCAGGGCTCTTTTGATATTCTTGTGAAGGCCTTGGTCTCTCTGCCCTGTTGTTGGCTCTCCAGAGGAATTGGTTGGCCACTGTGTGAGGCAGGATGCTGGACTAGGTAGACTGTGGATCTTGATATGAGTAACCAACTACGGCCCCAGTCACACGGGCCGGATAACGCGCGGGGGGGGGGGGAGGGGGGGCTTTTTGCGCCACCGCAATTAGAGCCGCCATAACGCGATCCCCCGTGTCGGTGGCACACCTCGGTTCCTTCCCTCCGCACCTGCGCATCAACGAGGGGCCGGAGGGAAAAGCCATGCCGGCGCAATCACACTGAGGGACTCCGGAGAAAGCCCATGGTAAACCGGTTGCTAGTACCTTCTAGCAGGTACTTTTTAATCGTGCATTTTCGGCGGTACACCACGGGTTTGCCATGGGTGCGCTCCACTTCCCAGATGTTGTGGTGTGATCGCACCCGGATAATCCGCCATGCAATCATCGCTCTCCCGCGGCAAATCCTCCGTGTGAACAGGGCCTACATTTCAGTAGGGGCAATGCAAATCCAGCGCATAAACGGATGCCTGCCGCTAAATGGGCCTGAAAGATTAAGGCGAGTTTACATTGGCAACAAGACGCCAGCCCCAAGTGAAAAACCAATGTCCAGGGTTCAGGTTGCTTTACAGTTTTTTATGTTGACTCATTGTTCAACTGCAATAAAAAAGGCAAATGCTATGCTGGGGATTATTAGGAAGGGAACTGAAAACAAATCAGCCAGTATGGTGTAGTGGAGAGCCAGTTTGGTGTAGTGGTTAAGTGTGCGGACTCTAATCTGGGAGACCCAGGTTTGATTCCCCACTCCTCCACTTACACCTGCTGATGTGACCTTGGGTCAGTCACAAGCTCTGGTACAGCTGTCCTTGAAAAAGAGCAGTTTGTGTGAGAGTTCTCTCAGCCCCACCCACCTCACAGGGTGTCTGCTGTGGGGAGGGGAAGGGAGAGGAGTTTGTAAGCCGCTCTGAGACTCCAAGTGAAGGGCGGGGTATAAATCCAATCTCTTCTCTTCTCTTCTTCTTCTATCATAATGCCCCTGTATAAATCGAAGGTGCAACCTCATCTGGATTAGGGTTGCCAAGTCTGGGTTGAAAAATACCTGGAGACTTTGGGGGTGGAGCCAGGAGAGGGTGCGGTTTGGGGAGGGGAGGGGCCTCAGTATAATACAATGCCATAGAGTCCACCCTGCAAAGCAGCCATTTTCTCCAGGGGAGCTGATCTCTGTCGGCTGGGGATCAGTGGTAAAAGCGGGAGATCCCCAGGCCCCACCTGGAGGCTGGCAACCCTATCTGGAGTACTGTGTACAGTTCCGGTCGCCGCACCTAAATATATATATATATATAGCATTCAAAAAGGTGCAAAAAAGGGCAACTAAAACGATTAAAGGATAGAACACTTTCCCTATGAAGAAAGGTTAAAGAGGTGTCAGCAAGCTGCCATTCTGTTTTCTGTGACCTCTGTGTACATATCCTTTCCTTGTTGCACCCGGCTTGTTTTCTATCATCCTGCTCCTGCGTTGGAATGCACAAGATAACTGCTGGAGGTTGTGTGGGGGAGAAGAGGCTGTAATGCTTGCCTATTGCTTTTCTCATGAGTACTGCACCTGTGTTTTGTCTGATGTTCTGCCTGGTTCCCATGGACTGGGCGCGCAACCGTTTCTTTAGCCCGCCAGCGGGAATGCCATTCATTGGATCTGTATCTGTTTGAATTTCCTTTATTATGCTTGACCTAACTGTGTATCCCCAGTTCTAACAAAGAACGTGTTTGAGTATGTCTTCAACGCTTTGAAATAAATTTGGCTTTTCTTGAAAACGTGGATTTATTCTCGATGCTTGGGGATCCAACAAGAGGTTAGGGCTCTTTAGTTCAGAGGAATGACGGCTGAGGGGTGACATGATCGAGGTTTATAAGATTCTGCGTGGGATAGAGCAGGTGGAGAAAGAAGTCCTTTTCTCCCTTTCTCACAATACAAGAACTCCTGGGCACTCCATGAAATTGATGAGCTGTGGGCTTAGCACAGGAGCTGTGGTGGCTCAAGTGGTTAAGACGCTGAACTGCAGGCTGTGGAAGGTCAGTAGTTCAGCTCTGACAGAACTACGACTTGCCCAAGGTCATCCGGCAGCTGCGAGTGGAGGAGTGGGGAATCAAACCCGGTTCTCCCAGATCAGAGTCCGCGCACTTAACCGCGACACCAAACTGGGAAAGATGGCCGCTCCCAGAATCCTTTGAGCCCGATTCAGCTGGATGCTAGCAGGCCTCTGGGAGCAGACGTCTTTCCCGCATCTTTGGTGCCACGGCGACGGTCCGAAGCTGAGACGTCCGGGGCTTCCGCTGATGTCATAGCATCGCCGCGGCAACTGGCCGTTCCAGCCAGGTCAGCCTCGCCCTGCCTCAACGGCCCTGGTGGGTCTCCTCGAGAAATGGAGCCCGGCGGCAGCCGCGTTGGACGCCTGTATCTCTTGTCCAGCATCTTTGCCTCTTTCCACTACAGTTTGCTCCTCTGCCTCACTGGCCTGTTCTTCGCCTTCCCGTAAGTCTGGACACGGGGCTGTCCCCCCAGGCTCGCCGTTCAGTCCAGGCGCCGCGGCTGGGTTGGGCTCGGGGTTACCACCCTCCAGGGGGCGGCTGGAGGCAGAGATCAGTTCCCCTGGGGGAAACGGCAACTTTGGGAGGAGGAGGAGGAGGAGATTGGATTTAAACCCCGACCTTCACTACCCAAGGGAGTCTCAGAGCGGCTGAGAAACTCCTTTCCCTTCCCCTCCCCACAACAGACACCCTGTGAGCAATGTTCCCTCTAAGCTGAGTGAGTGTGAGCTAGCTCACAGTTTTTTAGCCTCCGGCTCACACATTTTTGTCTCGGGCCAGGAAGGAGGGCTCCAGAGCAAACTAACTTATGCAGCAGCCAAATCGCTCGCTCACAACTTTAATGCCAGTAGCTCACAAAGTAGAATTTTTGCTCACAAGACTCCGCGGCTTAGAGGGAGCATTGCCTGTGAGGTAGCAACTGGGTTTTTCTTGTGTGAACTGACAAAATCCAGTTGGAACGTGCATTGAAAGTGCATGGGAAGTGGATTATTTCATGTGTGTGTGACTGCAGCTCAAGGGAGTTTTATGAGTTCATGTGTTTAATGGACCCCAAGACCTTCAAGTGTGAGAGAGAGGGAGGAAGAAGAAGAAGAAGAAGAAGAAGAAGAAGAAGAAGAAGAAGAAGAAGAAGAAGAAGAAGAAGAAGAAGAAGAAGAAGAAGAAGAAGAAGAAGAAGATTATACCCCGCCCTTCACTCGGAGTCTCAGAGCGGCTTACAATCTCCTTTCCCTTCCCCTCC